CTTTTTTTTAAGATGACTTTCGAATTGCAACTCTTGTGGCATGATTAATTGCTAATGTAGTTTCTTTTGACATTTTTTGCGAAAACTTGCTTCTTTCTGCACGTTTCATGGCGCACAGGTGTTTTTCTTTACCATTACTTTCCAATTGCAACTCTTGTTACATGGTTAATTGCCAACTGAGTTTTTCTTCACATTTTCTGCGAAAACTTACTTCTTTCTGCACGGTTCTTGGCTTGAGACATAAACAATCGCAGGCTATTTTCCGAACATAATAATGACTTTACACGCAAGATTATTTCCGAAATATCAAAACTCTTACCATAACCATTCTTTATAAAGCCCTGTTTCTAATACATCAATGTAAGACACCCGCAAGCGATAAAAAATACCAGCATCGAATTACTATTGAAATACATGTCTTAACGCAAATTTTCTGCGAATTAACTTACCACGCAAATTTTCTGCAAAAAATCAACCAGGCGTTGCAGTCCTGAAATGTCACGTGATATCAACTTTCCCATGATGCCCTGAGGCACACATGTCACTCAATTTGTCTCATCTCTCAAATCTCTGGAAACTTGGTTTGGTTTTTCTTCATCGATCGTTTCTTTCTTTCCGTCGTTCTTTATCAGCTACAATGGATCCAAATTTACTACGCGAGTGCGCGCAGCGCTTGTTGGAGACAGCGGACTTTATCCGTAACCGGACTGCTGCTGTAACGTCCACAACGCCGACAACCACAACAACAACCTCGAACTTGACAAACGCGCCGGGAACCGCGCAACCTCAACCAAACAGCGCAACTGTTAGGAGTGAGCACAACCGACTGTTTGGCTACCGCCCGCCAGCTCCGTCACGAGCTCCTCGAAATCCTCGTGCAAATAGCCGGGGAACACGCCGCTCGCCCTACACAAACGCAGCCGTAGGTCGTGCGAGCTCCACGTGGAGCAGGTCGTTCGTGTGTATCGCGACAGCTGGACAGCAAACGCCACCGTCAACTTCAGAGAGGATTGACCTATCACTGAACGGCCTGGGGGAAAAAAAGTTATCGTTCCCCAAAGAAGGAAACGCGGGAGATGTTCACGAAACCATACTTGCGGCCTTTCCGGCGTTAAGGGAAGGGTACGAAATTCTTCGTGCGGGGGAAGGGCGGTCGAGACAACTTCTTCTTATTCCGATGCCCTCGAACGGCTTCAGCGTGGGCTATTTGCAAAGTGTTCTCGGGCAAGCCAAGGGCTATCTCAGGCCGTTGCAAAGAGATATTGAGATGGACACACGTCAAGAAGGTGTTGCCAGCCCGGAGAAGGTATGTCAATTGTCTTCCCCAAGGGGAATAGGCCGTAAGGCCTGGGGCGGGGGGGGGACTCCCATATAAAAGTGACGGAGATGCTCTTCATCCCTACTTAGAGGTGTACATTGCAGATTTTGGTCTCACTTAGGCTGTTTGGGTGGAAAGCCACTAATTTTTGCCCATTCTGGTATCTCTCAGACCAGTGGGTAAAGAGATTATACAGAACCACCATCACAGTGCATCTTTGGAATAGCCAATGCCAATAGAGTGAGGTATTTTACCTGGAATCATGTCATTACGGACAGGTATAACCTCCTAGAATATTTCCTGAGTCATAATTTTAGACTCCTGTAAGTGTGTTTGATTGTTTATGTCTATTATTCATGTAGGAATTTCATATTTTGCCATTTTAGGATGATGAATCAGAGGAAGTCAGTTGTCCCAAAGTTAGTTGTTTGAATTGTAATGATTTGGTGTCTATGGGCAGCATCAGGCAGCATCAACTCACATGTCGGGGTGGAAGTTCCTCATCAACGTCATCTGGTGCAAACAGTCATGAAAGGAGGTGTGATTACTAAAAAGTTTATTTTTAAGCAGAATTCACATCAACTGGGGGTTACTGAATTCACTGTTTTATTGCTTTCTAATGATGTGAAATTCATAAGCTAGATGTAAGCCCATTCATCTAAAGGACTTGTTTTTATTTTCAACCAAGGTTATAACTGTGTGCATATACAAGTTTGATCCTAGTTATGTGCCACAGCATTCCTAGTTCCATAGGTTTTTCAAATTTAGCGCCATTCGGAAGCAGATGTATTAGGATCAGTTGCCTGGCTTTCGTATGCTGATCTGACAGTGGGCACCAATATTTTTTAGTTTTGTGTCATTTTGAGCAATATTAATTTCGCGCAAGAAGAAGTCAAGGAAGTCTAGGATTGACTCTTATACCCAGTCACAACTGCGTTTCAACCAAAAAAGTTTGAAAAAGTGTTCTATTGGTAACTTCAACCACTTCAATCAAAACCAGTTTTGGTTGAAATGGTTGATCCCAATAAAACATGCCCTACGACTGAGGTAAGGTGTTCAAATCATAGGACAAATCATATGTACGTTACATACCGTGAAAGCCCTGATGTATAAGTCGCACCTTTTTGCTCAAGTTTGAAGTAAAAAATGGGGGGGGGGAGTGTGACTTATCTATATGGCACCATCGTCGAATGTTTATTGATTGACACATCTTGTCCTCCAAGAGTTCTTTAAAACTACATTGTATTTGAACAACTTAACACTAAACTACAAGGAATCTCCATTGCTCCACAAAGCTGTTTGCAATGATGCCTGCGGCTATAAGTCCCCTCTATGGATATCTTTCAGCCACATGCATGCTAGCCTGTTCCAGGCGTTCAGATAGTAGAGCGCGGGAGAAAAATTCACGAAGAAAAAAAAAAAGTTTTCCCGGTGTACAACTGAACTTGCTCCCCACTTACCGCCGTGCTCTACCATCTGAACACCTGGAACAGGCTATATGCATGCATGAAGTTTGAAAGTACTTGCCAGACAAATGGCCTACTTTTTTTCGCTGTTTGTGTGTTATTATTCACAGGGTGCTGCTCCTCACAATTTCACCTTGGCTACTAAGCACCCATTTATTCATTTGTTCGTTCATGGCTTCTTTGGAAGTGATAATCTTGAAAAAAATCAGGTAAAAGGAGCATTTTAAGTTCCAAACGAAGTGAATTGACCAACCAAAAAGAAGGTACATCAAAATGAAAGTTTGCTATCTTAAGACTCATGAATGAAAAAGATCACAACATTAACTGCTCTGCATGTCAGTTTCACCATTTGTTTTTGTCTTTGTTTGTTTTGACTTGGTGGGAACTTCAAGCTTTGTTGCCCAATTTATTTATTTTTCCAAAATCTGACCTTCCAAAATTGGTATTCAGCTTATCTACATGTGCGGCTTATACACAGACTCTTACAGTATTGGTACATATGATCATTTCATGCAAGTACACGACTAGATTGATAAAATGTACAATGTTTTTATTTATTATTATGATTATTATTATTATTTTGCAGAGATCAGGGGATTGAACAATACCTTTCCCATGATGCTGCTGGTATGTTCTTGAAAAATTGTGTAGCTTAGTTTTGAGGTTCTGAAAGTCTTTGTCAAGTTGTTTTTGCTGAACTACTGTCCTATGAAATGCCTTGAAAGCTATTAAATTTATCATTGATTTTATTTTTCACTCTTTGCTGAACAGTATTTTGTATCTTGTGTTGAATAGAACCAGTACAGAACCTTCAACAGCTTTTTCCAGATATGCCTGTGTCAGAAGTGGAAAATGCTCTGGAAGCAGTAAATGGGGATATAAATGAAGCAGCAGGTGTAATTCTCAATCAAAGTGTAAGAGGTTTGTAAGTCATGGGGAAAACTTTTCTTATTTTCAATGGAATTAAAGCCAAGTTTAAGCCTGTTGAAGTCAGCTAATATAATTTCCATCCCTTTGTTGTTTATTACATGTACAGCAGATGAGGATGATGATGAAATCTTGATGTTGCATCCATGGGAGGATAGAGAGAATGATGTATGCAAAGGTATGGCAATAAATTATTACCAGGAGTAAAAGTAGTTACATAACCATTGTTTATTAGTGACACTTGGTTGGCTCAGTTGGAAGGCTGCAGGTCTCTCCAGAGGTTGTGTGTTCAAACCTATGACTGGACCACTACTTAGGGTCTTAAAATAACTAAGGAGAATGTGTCACCTTTGACGGTCTCCTCATATAACCTTTCCTTATGGGGGTATGAGACTCTTATTTGCATGATACTGTTGCAATGAACCTGCCAAGGATTGGATAGGCTATACATAATAAAATAAATAAAACAGGCTAGATAAATTAAAAACTGCAGTTATTGGCGTATATATGTCATTTCATTACAGGAAACAATTACTTGGCATTTTCCTGCTATTCTCATAGGTACAACTAAAAATTAACAAATGATGGGAAAACGTGGGTTGTTTTTTTTTTAATTTAACCTGCATGTAACATAATACAGCTTTGTAGCAACTGAGAGAAGTTATCATCAGTTTGATTGTCAAACTAATATTGTATTCTTCCGGGCTTTGATATTATTTAATTTATTTGATTTATTGCAGATGTCCAATTGTCATCAGTTCTGGAAAAACTAGGCAAAAAGCTTACTGGAGCACCCAGAAGAATAACTGTGGATCAGTGTGATGTCCTTGCAGACATATTACCTCTGTACAAAGATCCTGAGTTTGATCCCTCTCGACCAGTGAGGGTAGTCTTTAAAGACCAACCAGCAGTGGACAGTGGAGGTCCCAGAAAGGAGATGTATTCTTTAGTTTATGAAACACTTGCATGCTCCACAGTATACAAGTTGTTTGAGGGCCAAGCTGGGCGACTTATGCCTTTTTATAATGCTAGTACTGTGTTTTCGGGAATGATGAAAACTCTAGGAAAAATGATAGCACACTCTATCGTCCAGTGTGGCATTGGTCTACCTGTATTCTCCCCAGTTTGCTACTGGTACTTGATCTCTGGAGATGTTTCTAAGGCCCTGGCATATGCAAACCTTACAGACATCAGGGATCCAGATGCAGCTGTATTAACAGAAAGGGTATTCTTACAGTAGTTATTACCACCTAAACTCATTATCTCCTGAAACATTAGCTGAAAAACTGCTTGTGAAGCTTAAATATAATAATGAAATAGCTGTCTTTGGCTCACTTTTTGGAAAAAGTGAAGAACAGCTCCCCCAAAAAACTGTCGGCCGACTGTTGGTCAACAGTCGGCCGACTGTCGGCCACCATTTGGCCAACAGTCGGCCGACAGTTGGCCGACAGTCGGCCAACGGACTTTTAGAGGAGCTGTTCTTCACTTTTACCCAGTACCCACTTTTTTGTTCCACTTGGACAGTTCAGGGGGTCACAAATGGGTTAAAGGGTGCACGAGTTTAAAAAAAAGTCACTTAGTGTATTAAATATTAACATATCTTAAACTTAACAACACACATTATTCATTTAGTTGGTACCTCAAAAGCACATTAATCACTCTGTTTTTGTCTTAATTGATTTGTGTATAGTGTCAAACTAAACATTTTGAACAAAATGATGGCTTTTTTCAGTCATCTATTTTCTGGGGCATCAAAGCAAATTTACAACCATTCCATACATGAGCCACCCTTCTCAATGGCTTAATTACTAGCTTGATCATAAAAAACACTTTCAAGTACCTTCAGTGAGTGCCATCAGACCCTATTTTTACCTTGTTCCCAGTGTCAACTCTCTTCTGTGCCTCCCTTTTCGTTGAGAGATTGAAACTCTCTTTCCTCAACAACAAGAGAGGAATAGCTAGGAGAGAGACCAGGAAATTAAGTTGGCCCAATTTTAACATGTTGTTGTACACTCTCTTATGTAGTTTTACCAACTATAATGAAAATAGCACCTGACCTCTCGGGTTGATGTATATGTATGTGGGGTAAACATTCATTCACACCCTCAAAGCTGGGATTTTGATTTTGTAAGTAGATTATGGTAAACAAAGAATAAATATTAACAATGTTGTATTTTCAAAATTATTGTTCGCATCAGATATTACGGGCAGAGACAGATGAAGAACTCAGTGGTATAAATGAGGATGCTGGTTTTGAAGTTTTACGTTCAGATGCTGGTTGCACATCTAAGCTCACAGTAAGCAGAAGCTTCTTTTATTGCTTGTACTTATTATTTAAGAAACCTTTTTTAAAGGAAGTGCAGTTTTTCATAAAACTTGGGATATGAAGACAGGGTGACTTAATCAACCAATAATATAATTGTTACAAAATGTCAAAAGTAGCCTGAAATGTGCAGCCCCTTTGGGTGTTGAAATTTCAAAATTTTTCTGGGGCAGGTCCCCTGGGAGGGAGACCTGGCCGCTGGGACCCTGGAACCCTTAGCCTATACCAGAGCTAGATCAACTGAATTTTGCTACCCAAATCCCCCCTATCGTAGAGGAGCTGTTTTCCAGAAACAACTGAGGTCACCAGCACAGTCCAGCTAAAACAAAACCGATTTGATTTTTTTATATTCTTGAGTGGCAATTCCTGGTTTCCCTATTCTAGACTAAAATCTTCAGCCAATTGATCACTTTAAATGGAAAATGATACCCTCTTCTAGACCCAAACTCTCTGATTTATATACCCTATCCCAGAGTGAACTGCTTGAAGACTAATTACCCTTCACAGCAGCACATACCTATATAGCTCATATATGGCAGTACCCCCCCTCTCCCGAGCCAGGTCCCCTGGTCACTGTCCTATGGAGGGAGCAACATACATACATCAAGTTAATCTATTCTCAAATTTACAGAGTAGCTGGCTAGTACCCCTTCCCAAACCTTCCTCCCTACCTTTGCCCCTGCTAATGCAAATTCTGTCCCTGCAATCCACAACCATAACAAAAACCCTGGGTGCATATGCATTTAAAAAATAATAAACATGCTTATAGTAAGTGTTGACATTCAACATTACTGGCGGTGATGATCATGATCATTTCTTTCTATTAGAATCTGTGACATCAAAACTGTCGGTCAAAGTAATGTAACTATAAAGATCTACATATAGCTCATGTCACTTTTCTGTTTGACAGGCAGAAAATAAAACAGATATTGTGCAATCCATTCTGGTGCATTTTGTCTTAAGCAAGAAAAAGGTCTTGCTTGACCAGCTTAGAGAAGGATTGAGGACCCTAGGTGTCCTGGAGGAGGCAATCAAGCATCCACTGCTATTTGAAAAACTATTTGTCAGGACTGAAAGTGACTTATGTTCTAGGGAAGTCAGAGCCATCCTTGACTTCCCAAAGCAGATGGGTGGCAGTGAAGTAGAGGCCAAGGAAATGTTGTTACAGTTTATAGATGACTGCTCTATTAAGAGTAAGGAAAAATATTATTATTATTATTATTATTATTATTATTATTATTCAATAATAATAATAACAGTAAAGATTAATTGTTCCAGTGGTAGTGAGAGCACTCAGGGATCAGTGCCACGGAGATTGAAGGACAACTTGAAAACCATTTAGATGGGCATTCCTGTTGAACTGATCTAGAGATGTGCGTTGCTGCCGAGGGGTCAGCAAGAATTCTTAGGAAGGTGCTGGAGATGTACAGGAAAGATGGTCTTGCAAAACCGCAATACCGCAGGTTGAAATAGAGCGTTTTCACTCATGTGGCCAGCATTGAAGCCAATTTTATGAGAACAAAAGAAATTGTTACATAAGAAAAGAGTTTAACTCCCACCGGATTTGTTTGGAAACCAACATGGCCGCCGTTTCATTGTTTTGGAATACCAATATGGCTGCCGTGAAGTCATGTGAAAACATTCTACAATTTTATTGCTTAGCAATACACCACATCAACTAAAGTGCAGAACTGTATCACTACAAAACCTTACATCCCCTCTTCTCTGTACAACAGAAATTACTTATAAACTTATTGCTTATGAAATCAAAGAACGTCTTAAATTTTTTCCAAACAGAACTGCACGATTTTCTTCGCTTCACAACTGGGGCCGCCACGCTACCAATGGCAGGGAGTTTCCTTGACAAGATTACAGTGACCTTTGATGCTGTGGATAATTGCATCTTTTCTTCAACATGCCTCTTAACACTCCAATTACCTCCTAAATTTGAGAGTTATGAGCTTTTTAAAGTAGCAATGGAGGCAGCCATTAGCAGTGTTACAGGACCTGCTTTCAACGTTGTGTAAAAAGAGGAATGTGAACTACTTGTTGCCATAATAGAGAAGACAAATCAGAGTAAGAATGTTAGCAGCAATGGAAGATTACATACCTTTAACACCACAGCAATTGAAATGGGATGCTTTAGGTATAGCCAAATACCAAATACCAGTCGAGTAAAAAAAGAAAGGTGATTTATGTAACTTGAGCAAACATGTCAAATACATTTATTTGATTGAGTCTCATTTTTAGCTATTGTGGATTGTGCTTTGTACAAGTGAATCATTGAAACAAAGCATCAAACCATGCTCCTATTTATGAATTCATTGGTTTACTACCAGCATTAACTGACCCTTCACACGACCACACACTGGTCAGTTGACCACTTTTACCAAAGATTTGAATGGTCATTTTGGTACTTGCCATAATTGCTACTAAGTAAACAGAAACGTCTTGATTGTACGATATCAAAATTTAAAACACATACCTAGAATCTGAAGAACACATTAAGAAATGGCTAGGATGGGAAAATGTGTTTCATCAGGTATCCAAGGATTCCAGCAACTATAAGTCGGTTGAAAAAACTTTAATTCTCATTTCCTGGATATGTGAAGAGAAACACAAGTACTAAGTTATATCATCAAAGATCAAAGGTGTTTTTATCTGGAACAAAATTTGCAGTTCTATAAATTATGATGTGTAGCAATCAGTAACAGGATTTTGCATGTCAAAACTGAGACTTAACAGGTAAAAAATGACCCTGAAGTAAATAACAAGTATATGTTGCGATTCAATTTTATCCTTCATTTAAATTTTATTTCTCACTGTTTTCAATGTTAATACATTATCATACTCAAGTACTAATTATCAGGAGAAAATGTTTCAATCACAACATATTCTAGCCTGTGTACAGCTGCCCCTCCCCTCAGAAAAATGGAGGGGTGGCTGTACACAGGCTAAACATATTCATGTATTTCAAGAAATTGCAGGAAATTGATATGAAAAAAAAAAACCTTGTTTCTGTTAAAAGTTAGGATTCCATACTAAAAAAGTTAGCATGTGTAACAAGGGCTATTGAGCTAAGCAAGCCGCTTTTTTGCAGCATGCTGATGGTGACAAGTCGAGGTAAAAGTGCAAGGCCTTTGTGTGAACCACAAACTCAGTAGCACATGTTAAGCAGGCTAACTAAAGGAAGCAATCACTGTTTTTTAGAACCCCCTTTTTTATAAGGAGATTATATGTTTAAAAGACAAGTTATTTTTTGTGGGAGTAGAGATATGAAGGCAATAGTATCTTTCTGTTAAAGATGCCTTTTATCATTTTGTTATATGATTCCACTGGCAATTGAAGTTAGCTGCCAGTACGGAATACATATATATTTAATGGTTCCATTATTAGATTTTCAAGCAATAACAAACTAACCAACCCTTACCAAGGAGATTATATGTTTAACTTTCAAGGAGATTATGTTTAGACGTTATTGTTATGAGAGTAAAGATATGAAGGCAATAGTATCTTTCTGTGCCTTTTATCATTAAATTTTTGTTATATGATTCCAGTTGGAATTGAAGTTAGCAGCCAGTACGTACAGTAACATTTCATTAGTTCCATTATCAGCCTGTAAAGCAATAAAGAATGAACCAACTCTACCAAGGACTTTTGATTTTGGACCTCTTGCTTGTTACTTAAAAGCCTTGCTGGTTCTAATTTGCCTCAGAGTTAAGCTGGTGACTCATGGTTCAATAAGAAACAGTGAGTTTTGTTTCCCCAAGACCTTCAACACCAAGGGGAAACAAAATTCACTGTTTTCCAGGGTGCCAATCATTAAGTATTTGTCGTATTAACCCCCAACTGAAAATAAAATAATCTACAAATGGGTATGATGTGTATGAGATAAAAAATCGATAATACAGAGCTGCAACAATAATTCATCAAAGTGTAGGAAGTGGGAGAAAATGTAAACATTGATTGAATCGCCCTTATACATTTCTAGAAACTCCATGATTTAAAAAAGTAAATGACACAACAGTAAACTTTAGTTGAGAGTTCACAAAAGTAGAGTCCAATGTGCTTACAAATTTGCCGCCGTAAAGACACCCGTCCTGATCAAGGGCAAGTCCAAGGTTCAAGCTGTTGTCACCCTAAGCCTACGGAATTATTGAGTTTTGTTCACCCTAGGGAGTTAATACAGGTTTGATGCGCATCACGTGATATGCTTTTGTGCAATAGAAAACTGCCCTTCAGTTGGGAAGTATCCAAGATGGGGTCATTCATTCTTTGAAGTTTAGATATTTACGTAAATTCAGTATATATTTTACATACGGAAAATATATTTTTATGAAATAGCAGTTTGAATACAAGAAGATAATAAAACAGTTACTGTAAACGTTTTACTGTAAAGTATGTACTTCTTTTTTTTCGGGAGGGGGGTGTGTATGATGTTGATTGAGAGTACATATAAGGTCAATATGTGTTATCATATGGCCACATGTGCCATGATGAAGGATAAAACCTCCATGTAAATGTCAATGCCATGACAGTCACTTGGTCTCAATGGATCTATTGCAGCCAACATCTCTTGGTAATGAGTTTGCTGCAATGGGTTTAACGTATTTGGAACTTCCACAACATTAATATCATCGCCATGGTCATCTGGAACTGGACCATCTATGTCGATTCCATATGCCTGAATTTCATCCTTTAAAAACAAACAAATATTTAGTTGTGTTGACACCCATACAGCTGAATACAAGAGACTCCATGGGGCATTATTAATAATGTTATTGAGAAATAGTAAATTATTGGTTGAATGGGCATGAAATAATAAATATTAATGACTAATACAGGGTTCAAATCTAACTTTTAAGGTAATTTGCCCCATAGGGCAACTGCTGTTCAAGTTTCAGTTGCTCCCCCACCCCCCCCCCCAAAAAAAAAGAGCTTGTCCTGTTTTAAAAAGTAGTTGTCCAATGAAATTAAAGTGAGTCGTGCTTACGGTCATAGAGTGTGTTCATTTTCTTTGTCATTGAAATTCTGGTACATGTAGTTGTCTCTTTTCTTTATTCCTTCTCAGTGATAAAGCTGATTCAATTGAAATTTCTATCTTTATTACCAAGTCCCACCAGAGTCCCAGCAGTTGCCATGCATGTGGAATGTGGAAGCCACTTGCCCACCAGGGCAACTGGCCTGAAGATTTCTGTTGCCCAAGCCAAATTTTAACCAAGCAATTCATCATATACAGGACGGCTCTACTGAAAACTTCTAATAGTACTTATTGTAAGAATATGAGCATACATGTACCTCTGTTGTTGGTTCGTACATCTCTGTAGCTACAGTTAACTCTGTCCCCCTCAATCTCAACAGGCCAAGAATGTACAACTGCATAGGCGATCTGCTTCCAGCAGTGCGGATTCTATGTCTCACATAGCCCCCTTTCCAGATATTTAAATGACGGTTTATTCTCGGTAAATATACAAAGTGAAGAGCAAATAAATTAGACTGGTTTGTCAGATCAAGGAAGCCACTGTCTTCTAGATGATAGAAAAGGTGATAATATATATACAGAACTCCTTCGAAGACATCTCTCCAAAGCCTTTCAATCCGCTGGTTATGCACACTGCGTCCAACTATCATACTTCCTCGACCTGGACCTCTCTCTGGGTGTTGAAGCATAAACATGGAAACTCCAACGTTTTCACCTCCTTTGTCAGATCTAACCCTGGATGGAAGTCCATACTCGTGAATGGCTTGTCGAAATAAATCGAGGACTGTATCAGAAGAATTGTTGGTGTTAGCCTTGAGATATACAGGGATTCTGGTGTAACCATCCACTCCTCCATGAATGACAATTCTCCATCTGAAAAAGTAAAATTACCAACCGGAATATTGCCTACTGGTTTCTGTGCTTCAACTGTATTTCACTAAGAGTAACAGAGTTTCATCTTTTTAACTCATTCTATGGTTAGGGGCAAAACAAACCTGATGTTGGGGTTAACATTTGTCTAATGACTGGAGCCAAGTGATCCAGGCCTACTCTCACAAGGTCCTCTTCAGAAGTGTAAAGTTTATTCGTGAAATTTTCAATGGGGCGGTTTGTGTAAAAGGCAAGCACCCAAGGTTTCACAGTGTGCCACAGAAGTAAAACTGTACACGTCTGACTTGAGCCCATTTCAAACTTTGTGATACTACCATGCTTAGCGACAGCTGTAAATGTGTAGCTCAGCTGTAGCACGACTTGGCTTCAGACCAAATTTTTTCAGATTCAAAGCTGTCGGTGTAAACAATGTCAAACCATTGGAAACAAGTTGTGCTAATTTCAGAGATGTAATCACAATCTCATGGTCATAATCTATGATATGAGTTTGACAAGGCTGTAGCACAATGTTTGACACCAAGTTATGCTACAGCCATGTAGCACCGCAAGCTTCGCTGTACTACAAGGCAGTACACTACAGTGCAGGCAAGATCTAGGTGAACAACGCAATCACCTGAGTTTAACACGGCACTTGCACAACATTTGAAATGGGCCTGCTTATTGGTATTTATGCACGAACAGGCCATTCCATTTAATATAGACTCTCCCCTTCTATGGAGGAGAAAAAACAAATACGAACTCATCCATTACATTTACATTCACCATATTACAAGTTTTCCCTCTCTGCAAGGCTTATATGCTCAGATTCGGTCAGGTTCAGCCATAGTCATTTAGTCATTTTCTGAGGGGGTTCCCTAAAAGATGAACTCATCCATAGTAATTTCATGATAGGAAGGGTTTTAAAAGAAATCATGACCTCATCCATAGGTATTTCTTCGGGGGCTTCGATTTTTCTCACTCATCTATGGGTATTTCTTGGGAGGTTAGGGTAACATTATGTCTGAAGGACTACAGAAAGGGAGCATAAAACCATAGGGAGGGGGGGGGGTGGATATTAAATGGAATAGACCAACCAGAGGCTGTAACAATCTTGGTTGGTCGTAGTGAAACTGTGAGTTACTTGAAATATTTACCTGATCAGCTTATGGTTTCCATCGATGTGCCATAAAGCTAATGGGCCACTTACACAATACACCGCTCTTGGGGTAATTGACAGCCACCTCATGGCCACGCCATCTGGATCAGTCCTTTGCATGGACTCGCGAACTCTCCTTTGAGGCACCTTAATGCCGCGTAAGTTAAGCTGGGACAGCACTCTTCTGTACCCAGCATTTGGGAACTCTGTATGGATACTTCGCACAACAGAGTCAAGATCATCATCGGACATTTCAGTCAGAGTTCCTCGAATTGAAATATTGAATTCTCGCAGTCGCCTTTTAATGGTACTGACGCTTACACCGAGGGCCTCGGCGATATCTGGAGTTTTCAGTTCGTATTCGACTAAGTACTCAAGCTGATCTTTGCTTATTTCGAACCTAGGACGACCAACCGATCCCGTAGAACGTACAACAAAGGACACAGGCTGCCAATTTCGTTCTGCTTCTTCCAAAGCTGACGTTATTTCAGCGAGCGACAACTGGACTTCTTCAAATACATTTCCAGTGGCACTAGCTGCTATCCTCGACAAATGACGAGCTACTTGTTGCAATCGGTACAATACGTAGTCCGCCACATCATCACTCGAATCTTGCTCTAGTCTCCTAGAGAGGTCGATGAGATGTAGACGAAGATTAAAAACAAAATCAGCAGTAGAGCTCATTTTCCATTTCACTACGCGAACACGGCCTAGGTCGAGGGAAGCGATCCGAAGGCATCGTGGGATAGATCACGTGACTCGCCGCCTGGTTGATTTTTTGCCGAAAATTTGCGTGGTAAGTTAATTCGCAGAAAATTTGTGTTAAGACGTGTATTTCAATAGTAATTCGATGCTGGTATTTTTTATCGCTTGCGGGTGTCTTACGCTGATGTATTAGAAACAGAGCTTTATAAAGAATGTTTATGGTAAGAGTTTTGATATTTCGGAAATAATCTTGCGTGTAAAGTCATTATTATGTTCGGAAAATAGCCTGCGATTGTTTATGTCTCAAGCCAAGAACCGTGCAGAAAGAAGTAAGTTTTCGCAGAAAATGAAGCAAGTTTTCGCAAAAAATGTCAAAAGAAACTACATTAGCAATTAATCATGCCACAAGAGTTGCAATTCGAAAGTCATCTTAAAAAAAAAGTTTGCATTATTAATTTTGACCCTAATAACGCGCCATACGAGCGCGGGTTGGAACGCTTACATTGTACTCCGTAGGTCCAGCGTTCAATTCCAACCCTAAACACTATCTGGGTTTTCTCTCAGTTGTCCAGGTCCTCGGTCACCGTTGTAAATAGCCCACTGGTTTGTCTACGGCCAGTTGGGATTCTTAATCTTGTGGGCCACCGTGGAAACTACTGGTTTACCAGTAATTGTGTTACCTCTATAAAGTCAGCTTTTTTAAATGACAGAAATCTCAGTCCTCCTACCGGGTAAAAGAGGCATAAGACCCTCTCTAATTCATCCATTTCTGTGCCGTCATGCCATTGAACGTAGCGGAACAATTTCCATCTCCAATCAATGGTCTTGTTTAATAGTTGGATGCTGATTAAAACATTCAGATAGAAGGGAATGCTTTCAAGGTATCACCCCGATTCTCTACGAGGATTCACTTTCGAGGAAGGCTATCTCTGGCTATGATCTAGTAATACAGGAGCTGGGAGGTAACTATGATTTTTCAAAGGGGGAGGCGTGATACTGTGTCATACCCAGGGTATACTGTACTTACCAGATTGTCATGTCCACATGCTGTGTTTTGTTTTAAAAAAGTGACACTTTCGTGAGCAGTGAGTGTGGGGGAGGGACAGGCCTACGTAAATGAGACACACGGTATTGGAGAAGGACCGAATATGTTGTCGTCGCCGTATAAACCAAATTTTGGCAAAAGAAGAACTGCTGGCTTCACTAGTTTGATACGAAGAACTTTTCAGCAAAGTGAGCCTTCAAAAGGTGGTTTTTACAGAACATTTGGAAAAACGATGGCCGAGATAGATCGATACTTTTATTTAGGTTTTTAATCATCATTTTTCTATATTCGTAAATAGGTTAGATTGTAAGTGAAAGGTTTTGAGCGAAGAAAGACGTGCAAAAAAAAAATTCCCATAACAATACATTTTCCAAACACTTTTCACGGACTTTTGACGATGAGACCGGTGGTAAACTCACTGTAAATGCTTCGTGCTGTTTGTTTGTTGTACGAGTGTCACTAAAATAAATTCTTTTTTTCGCGGTTTCGTTACAACTATTATTGCGGCACAACTAAACAAAATAATCAGCGGAAAGAAATAAGTTGTATCCTGTTTGCGGACCATTTCAAAGAAATAACAGTCACGTACTACCTAGATCAAACATTCACACATAGCCATTCACTGCGAACCATTTCCTTGCTGCTGGATCACCGGCCGGAACCACGTGGAATCGATAAGTCAAGAAAGACTGCTTCGTCACCGTTTAATTTTAGTCACGGTTTCAGTTAGATGTCAGTTATAATCGTTACACACTCCAAGACCCCGCGAAGCTAACTGCGTGTATGCCGCGCCGGGATTTTGCCGCGACGACCTCTACCAAATACCACATGGCTAGAAGCTTTGAGTTATGCACTCGCAGTGACTTAGAATCGAATTGAAAGGATTTAGCCAAGGTACAAAAGTGTTATGACTACTTCCGTACCAGCGCATGAAAATCGGAAATGAGTTGGCGACCAATGAATAATGTTCGGTAACATTCCTTTCAAGAATATGATAGTAAATGCACGATTTGAAAGTTGAAACTACTCAGTAACACTTTTTTCGCGAGCCTAGCAGCACTGGTTGTAATCATCTTCAGTTAGCTTTATAGAGTGGAAAAATAGAAAGTCATCGTTTTGGTCATCTTCGGTAGCCGCAAAAGGCGAGTGTGGCGCGGCGTAAGATTGTGAGCAAAGCACGAAAATCGTATCAGTGCTTTATGATTGTCAGATATGTTGAAAAGAAACAAGTGGGCTCCTTAAACGACCTATTTTGCGTTTTTCATTTTCTCCTTGAATGGGCAAAGGGTTTAGAAAGTCATGGAAAGGGTGTCAACTTAAAATTCATTAGTTACATTCCTTAGCTTAAAAATAGGGTCAGATCTTCCCAGTACACAAGTCACACAACCTCGTCAAGAAAAAGCCCTGCAGGGGTTGCTACGTGTACACCTATTC